TGGTAGGTATCTAAGTAATGTCGTTTAAATGACTTAAAGGCAGGATTGGATTTTAAATAATTGTGGGTTTCAATTAGGTATTAAAACATTTAATAAATTATTGATAGTGTCTATGGAAACATTTTAAATTAAGGTTCATTATTGAAAGGTAATATTAATGGTAGCAGTTTGATAAAGGATATACTTAAATTGAAAATTAAGTACCTATAAAACTGTCCGACATTAATGCAGAATATATAACCAAAGTAAGTACTATTGGCCTTGGAGGTTATATTTTGGAAATTGTTTTAGCCATAAAGTACCTAACTCAACAACAAAATCAATTAGTACCATCATGTACAATATTTTAAAATATTTTTTTTTAATAAGAAATAACTGCATATGAATGGTTGATACCTACAAGTCAACCATGAAATTCTAACCTAAAATTTACAGCATTACTGAACAGTGAACAACCACTTCATTCGCGTATTATTATCATCACCATTAGACGATTTCTTATCAGTAAAATATATATATAACTGTATTTTCATCAATTAATATAGCGATAGAAGTCCCTCAGGGTTCACATTCGGGACCAGTATCGTATCATTACTATTTAAATTGGTAGATAGGTACCTAGAAAGGTTGAAATGTCACAATAAATGCAATATTTGGGAAGGCGAGACCGAGGCAGACGACAAGCGACAGGTAGCAAATACTGCCATGTTAATAATGCTGTCGCCTCTCTTGCATCGTTCGCGCTGTTCCAAATGATTTTCATATAATTGTTCAGACTTGAAGAGACCGTTTTAGATCGCCTTTCGCCTGCCTTTTTCTCGGGTTCCCAAATGATACCTTTAGTACCTCTCTTTATATTTTTACTTTTTCCACCTCGATTTGTTTAAGAAAATTTACGTTTTGGGGTAGCCTGAATCCGTTTCGACTATAACTTAAAAACGAATAAAGATAAAAGCACCAAATTCTAAACTTAAGCTTTAATCCATCCTGCGGTTAGCTGATTAGATTTTGGTTATAGTTGGTGCATCTGGGGGTTAATTTATAGAGGGTAATTTTTCTAATTAATTTTCAAATAAACTACAGTTTTGCGCATTTTTTCGGGCATTAACCGAATTCGAGTATTGTGCGTAGCATATACATAATTTCTCTAAAGTAGACCGTAATGGAGAAATTTGAAGAAAAGTGTAAGACATGAAAAAATACATATTCCAATTATTATGTTATGTTATTATTATTAATGTTGTTAAGTATTAACCGAGGGGGTAGTCACTGTGGAAATCTTCTGTCCTACGGGATGGAGATTTCATGGATATCCGTGGAGATATGTGGAAATCCATGGATGTCCCGGTGGAAATCCAGTCGAGATATGTGGAAATTAAAGAATTTCGGCTACATTGGTTTAGAATCGGAAAAGCGTAATTGCGTGCGCACATCATTTTAACTGTAATTGCGGCCCAGTGCAGTGTTACCAGGTCTACCGTTTTTGCCTTTATCTTAGAGACAGTTTAGTTTTTTTTTTGAGTTCCTTTTATACTGGTAACTTGTTACTACTTGGGAATACCTATTAATTGTTTATTAGGTCAAAAACAAATGTATTTTGGTTGTTTTTTTCTTTTAATATTTCTTTATTTTTCATTATTTATTTATTTTCCTACGTAGTATTTCTCTACAATAAGTTTTTTTGTTATTGTATATTTTTTGGTGTTCCTGTTTTTTTTTTAGTATTATGTTACCTAAAATGGTATTATGTATTTTTTTTAACTGTTTGTTTTATTCGGTTTTATTATGTAGGTACATACGTTATAATATTATTTTGAGCAAGTGATGTATTACTAAAGTTATACCTATGTAGTAATTTTTTATTTTAATAAAACTTAGATGTTATAATATACTTATATTTTTTCAATTTTTTGCTTAAACATTATTTTCATGTTCAGATGCTGCTTCTTCTCTAAAACACCATAACAAGTTGTGAGTAAAATACGGGGGTAACATAATACTGAGTTAGTTAATGATACAGTCCTTCGACAGTAATAATCTATTTTCTGAAATGGTACATAATCTACCATTATTAGGTCAAGTATTACATACCATTCGTAATAGTCTACTTACTACCTCTAAAAAGTTTGTGATGTTCCATATTATGAATATGGAAACAAACGATACGGATACAAATTATTATTAATATCAAACTACCATTTTTTGAACAAAAACGGTTTTTTTTTAAATCTAATTCTATATAAAACTGAATGAAATGTATATGGAGGTCCGGAGGAGATACACGGAGATCCATGGAAATCCAAATGATCTCCATGGATATCCCTGGAGATCCAAGGATATTTATGGAGTTATATGAAGATCTCCACAAATGGAGATTTTCTGTCCTAAAAAATGCCCCCCCCCCCCCCGGTATTAACTGAATCAGCAACAACATAATGGTTGGTGTTGGTACCTACACAAAATTGGCAGGTACATATTTATGCAGATCTAGGTTTTTACGAAAAAGATTTAGAATGCACAATTTTTCTAATCAACTCTTGGTAGAAATGGTGCAAAAAATTATTGCATATATAAACAAAAGTTGGGAACTTCCATATATTGATATTAGTGTGATAGAGAAAATACAATTTATTTTTCACTTGTTTATAAAATTAAATTTTTTCAAGATTTGCTTGTATTTTTGCGAGTATTTTTGGTATAAAAAAAAAAACCTTAAAAACTACTTATATATTTGTTAATTCTTAGGTTTTTCAATCCTGTACCTACAAGTCAACCATGAAATTCTAACCTAAAACGAGACCTAAAATTGAACTAAACAAGCGCCTGGCTAGAGTACAGTTGGCCAGAATACACTGTTATTATTATAAGGTATTATTATTATAACTATCATCATACCTAATCAGTAAAATATCTGTAACTGTATTTCCTCCAATAAATATAGCAATAGATGTTCCTCAGGGTTCACATTTGGGACCTCTATTGTATTATTTACTGATTTCTAGAATCTAGATTGTAAGTTGAAATATAGCAACAATAAGTATATTTTTATTTTTAATAATAAGTTAAATACCGAAGAATGACGAGAATATTAGATATTAGATAAAAGAACAGAATTTTATAAAAAAATACTGGTACCTATTGAGAAATAAAATTGTAAGTTCTATGCCTAAACTTATGATTTTAAAATACTACACCTACTGGTACCCCGAAATGATGGTTTTAAGTAGGTTTTATAATGAAAAGGATCCATCGTGAACAATAGCTAAGTAATTTATGCAACCACTTACGAAATGCCTTATTTTATGTAACAAGTGAATATTTGCGGGACGAGCAGAGCGAGGTCCCGCAACATGAACCAATTACATAAAACGACACTTCGTAACGTGGTAGATACAATATTTTTTTTTAATTTTGACTATTTATAAAATTGTATTTTGGTAAAACATTACTGATATCTAGGCAACCAATAGGCATTACTTTTTTGTATTATTAGTTGCATATGCATAATTTTATTGGCAAATAGAACATCATATTAATTATTTATTCTCAACGACTTATTGTAATGTTTAGGTATATTGCGAGGTACCTATATTGCTTATTTATTTATTTTTATTTTGGTGTCATCGGCATCAACTACTAAGGTTATTAGTCTCGTGTTCTGTGTAGGCTTTGTTACTGTTTCTCAGCGCCACTTTAGGAACAGCACTGTTAATTACAACCCAACAGTGAATGGTCGATAGGGAATCGTACTAAGGCATCAGAATTAATTTTAAATAATTAAATGAAAAAATCCCGGCCAACGGTGTGACTCGAACCCGGGACTCTTGGATCTGCAGGCAGAGACTCTACCACTGAGCCACTCCCCCCTTATAGATATTGCTTATTATTTCGTTTTCAAAAAAGTGCTGTTTTTCTTTGATATTAACTTTCAATATTAAGTAATGTATATGTTGATTTTAAAACCAAAAACGGGTATTTTTATTTGTTTTCTTTTCACAACTGGTGAGATAATGAATTTTTCGTAACCAGTTTCATAATGTTCAACATTATGCAACTGGTTGCGTAAAGTAGATAATCATTTTGACACTTGCTGCGATTACAAAAAATGTCAGCTTATGTGTCAAAATTGGAAAAAATAACTTTTGTGGTAGGTACTATTAGGTACCTACCCATGGGCGTTTTTCTGCAAAAGAATAAGATACAATCTTTTTAGGTACTCCTGTGTATTAAGAATTACCAAAGGTAACTATTCATCCAATTATTATGTTTAATGCAATTATTAATGTTCTTAGGTAGGTAGGTACCTACGCAGGGTTGGCTAGTAGGCACAGGTTTATTTGCACCTAGGTTTTTTAGGATAAATATTTAGAAATCCCAATTTTACTAATAAAATCTCAGCAGAAATGGTGCAAAATTATAGTTTTTAGTAGGTTTTATAATGAATACTGAATAAAAAATTTTGTATTGGTACCCAAGGATGGTTTTCTATGCGAATTTTATACTCAGATGTAGAAAAGGTACCTAGATATTGTTATTTAGAATAATTGTCCTGTTTTGTTAAAAATGATTTCGTATTGTTACCTAATATAACATCAAAAGAATTAGATAGGTACATGAATCTTTTCAAGTACCCACTGTGTATGTTTATGAAGGATTAAGGAACCTATTTAGTTGTTAATTATGTACCAACATTATTAGGAACCGAGCTTGGAACCTTTTATTTGTCAATTAATTGTATTTTTTGTATATTTTTTGTTCTGTTGCAAATTATTTCGTATAGTAATATCAAAAGAATCGTTTTAAGTATCCACTGCGTATATGTAACTATTTATCCAATTAAAGTTGTTAACTAAGTATGTAAGTTTACTGTTTAGTTGGAACCATTTATGTTAAATAATTGCCGTTTTTATATTTTTTTAGGCATAACTAGTCCAGTATGTATTCTTCACGCCTACATTTTTGAGGATTCCGAATAAAAATAAATAAACAAAGATCCTAACCTTGTATAACATCTCTAAGCGATCTCCTCAGACTCAGTACTTGCACCCTCTTGATGCCTCTCCTAACCAACGAAGCAAACAACGAGGGATTTGCCCTCCTCAAGTGCAACTTTGCTTCCACACCTCTCCAAACGGACTTGTGGTACGCAGCGTCTCTCCAAGTGGTACAAACTTGGGCCACTTTGCCCTTATCCTTAACGTCCAAATAGCTAAAGATGATCGCCAATATCTCCGGATACAAGCAACTTATATTCGTTTTCCCGGAGTCCAATTCAGTTTGCGGTTCTTGGTAGGGCTCTATGAACTCTTGTATGTGAAACCTGTGCGGAAGATGGTACGGCTGGTACCTTGTATGATGGTGGTGCCTCAGCAACGCGGCTGTGGACAACAAGGGCACTGGTAACTCCGTGAACAACACTTGCGTCGGATCTTCCATCATTTTTACGGACACCGATCACACGGCTGCACAGAAACTCGTTTTCACGTAAGAAGTGTCATATCAACTGTCGCGTACCTGCCGGGCGAACGGTTCGATCAGAACTGGTTTGACGAGAACGGCACGCTAGATGCCAGTGCGAAGTCGGGACGGATTGTGGCGCCATTGGCTGGCGTGCGCACCACGTGACGGTACGGTAGCTGGAGGCGGTAGAAGCAGTCGAGAAAAAAGGTAACGGTGATGCGGTTTTGAGTTTCGAGACGTAGAAGGACCAAAAAGTGTTTTCTTTAATTTTTCAGAAGTCGTAAAAAGCCTTTTATTCCGAGTGATTTATACTATTTTTTCTTTAAATGTATAAATTAAAAAAAAAAACGTGACATATCGCTTTAGTGTCACAAAATACAGGTTTGATATGTTTTAAAAGTAAAAATAGGTAGGTAGGTATTTACTGATTTAAAAAAAAATGAGGATTATAGACAACATTCAAAAATATGGCCTTTCGAGCAACGGTACTATTTTTTATTGCGGCTGTTGAAAGTACCTATTTTGAGAGATACGTAGTAATTTCAATTCAAAGTTGCTCTTTGTGTGGTTATCAAGATTTTGAATTTGAAAAAAAGTTGTAAAGAAGAATACCGTAGAGCAGTGTTACTTTACAACAATTTTTACAGGTTTTGTAACAAAAAGATTATACCTATTATTATTAAACATACGTTAGTCTGTCCAACATGTGCTATTTCTAAATATTAATTATCAATACGTGTATAGCGACCCTTATTTTATGTTAAAAAAATATATGTAAAGTAGGTAGGTAACCCGACGAATTTGATACATTACACAAAAACAAAACGGTTAGAAAAACATTTAAATTAGGAAGTATTTTATGTGAAGTAAAACCACTTACTGATATATAGGGTGTCTCAGAAATATTTTCGTTTACTAATCCATTCGCTGGCGCCTAATTAGGCATTCCAACGACCTGTCAAACTGCTGACAAGTGGGAACTGACATTTAGATATGGCAACCATGTGAGCCTGTTGTCATTGACAGGGTCAATGATACATATATAGTTATACAGATTGCTCAAAACGGGTTATTTACGAGCGGCCATATTGCCTCGCAAGTGCTCATTAATCAGAATCGATTTTGCAAAAAAGTATTTACAAACCAATATTTAGCATTTAAATATAGTAAAAAAATAATTACCTTCATTTTTCTTCAAGGCATAAGCTTATGTTTATTTTGAAAAATTTAGATGATCAATCTATGTAACTATCTATTTCATTGACCTTGTCAAATCACCAGGCCTACAGGGTTGCCATAATTTTACCATATCATAACCTGTCAAAACCCATTGGTAGCCATTTTGTTTGGAATGCCTCATAGGCACATTCCCGAGAAAGAAGGCAGTTGGCAAACGGTTGTCGACAGTGTTGTTCAGTGTTGCCAACGGGAGAGAAATTTCCCATTCTATGGGAATTTTTAACACAGAAGGGAAAAAAGGAAAAAAGTTAATCAAAAAGGGAATTTTTTACTCCAGTCCAAATTGTGAAAAATGTATGATATGTATAATTTTAAAAATAAATAAAATTAAATTTGTTATTGCTTTGACGTATTTTTGTATTTTTAAAGTATTGTTAAAGGATTTGTTTTTAGGTTATCCTTTTTATATGTATACAAGTATTAAACCGATTTTGTTATCTGGAGAAGGGATGCCACCTGTACGGGTTTCAGGACCCAGAAAGCCCTGGTTGGATGAGGACCTTTTTTTGCAACTAAAATTTAACACAGTATATCACCATTTTCCAACTGCCTGCTTTCTCAGGAATGCGTCTATTGCGCCAGCGGACGTATTGATAAACGAAAATATTTCTAAAACACCCTTTATTTTACACATTCTAAAACAGGTAATTTTTTATTTTTTTCTGAATCAAAATCAAATACAATTTCATGAAAATAAAATTTATTGCATATTTAAAATCAAATTAAACGTTTACATTTCATTGTATGAAAGAATATTTGGTGCACCATCATTTTGTAAATGCTCTGGCCCTTTACCTTATTTCACGAAATATCTGTTTGTTCAGAAGCCTTTTTGTAGCTCCAAAACCTTTCAAGGGCAGCTCCAGGTCGAATTTTCGGGGGAAGTCAATTTTGTGAGAAATAAACGACCCTTTCTTTACACTTCCGTACTCAAAGAATTTTTTATTATTAATGATGATTACCTACTTATCTACATACAATTTTTTTCTGGACTGTAATCAAAATAGTACAAAATAAATAGCGGAAAGATTAACTGTAGGGATTATATTAGGATAAATAAATGTATTCAAAATAAATAAACAAAAATAGTCGTATTTTTTCAATATTCATATTTTTCTAAAATAAAAAAAATGCCTCCATCGAAAATTAATCCTACGTTGCGACATGGTCGCGACATACAAAGTTGATAAAGCTGAAGACTATAAACTACGTTATCACCTTGTCATATTAATTATCTAATCAAATATGTATATTAACAAAAAAAAAACAAAAATAATATAGTTGCTTTAAATTTATTTTAGTAAATTATTAAAATTAATCTAGGATTTAGGTATAAAAATCAATGTTAACAATTTAATCATCAATCCTATATTACTATTAATATAAACATTGATTAGATCAAAATATAAATTGACATATTTGACAGGTGGTTCCGAAAGGAGATTCATAATCACACACGGGTGGAAAGTAGATTCTTATCCACACCCATCCGACTAAATGTCTCACTGTCCTAAATGGTCGTAGGAAAAGAGATTTTTCTACACACACATATTTTTTTCTCATGTTTATTTTATTTTATAAATTAATAAAAGTCATTAATTATTTTTTCTAATTTTGACATATAAAGTGATATTTTTTATAATCGCAGCAAGTGTCAAAATGAACTCTACTTTACGCAACCAGTTGCATAATGTTGAACATTAAGAAACTGAAAAAATACTGAAATATTTTGATTGATCACTTCAAAACTTTGGTTCTCCTTGTAGTCTACAGTTGACAATAATATCCCAAACCTACCAATAACAGTTAGTCAATATCTTTTTGCCAGCCTATTCTGTCTACAAACAAATGCTTTTTTACTGGGAGATTTTTTGTAGGCACTGCACTTGGTTTGCAAGCTTTAAATATTTTTTTGAAAAAATTTAATCAAAGAGTATGTAGTTGATATACTGATTTGTTTGGTCCAACGACGTAAAACTACTAGACTAATCTATTCATTCATAATTTAGGCCTTTTTTATTACAATCATTCGGATTGTGTTTAGAGTAGTTTTGGGAGACATTGCGACAACTGCACCCACAATGCATCGGAGTGGGAAACAACACTCGAGGTTGAAATTGGAATTGGAATATATACCGAAACTATTCTATTATTATTAGGCAAAGAGAGGTGTCGCATCGGCTGCCGCATTAGAAAGAAAGAGATAGATGCTAATTTAAGTGGGGATGGTTTGTGCGCGTATGTTTATCTGAGGACTGAGCATGCGTTTTACGAATGAATGTACGTCTAGTACGCTTGCTATACAGTGATATCATACTTCAAAATTAATTGCGTTCTTTCCTGATAAACACAATACAACTATAATAGTTGCAATAAGAAAAATATATTAAACTGATAACAACTGGCATTAAGAATGCAAATATTCATTCTTAATGTAAAGCCTTCTGTACGGTTTAGAGCCTTATGTTTAGCCAATATCGAATTATAACCATAAACAATCTTTCTAACAACACTCTCCCATTATAATTTGACAACTACGTGGATGACAACGTGAATGTGTGCAATTCAATTTTTGTTAACAAATTTTTAGTTTTGGTTTTATCTTTTCTAATTTTAAAATGGAGCGCTTGTAATGCGTTACCCTACAGATATCCAACATCGACAACAGAATGAAGAGTCCGGTTGTGATTCGCCGGCCTCGTATCGATTCGGTTACTCACGGCGGGTATTTTTAAGTTCCACGAGGCTACTTCGTAGCTTCGTACTTCGCTATCGCTACGAGTGCTACGCCCCCCACAACTGGCGCCCGATCTAAGGGCGAAGAAGGGTGATAGTAGAGTACAAAGTACAAGTACAGCGAAGCCAAGAAGATTGCGATTGCTCCTCGCCTACAACCAGTGTTGCCACACAAATAAAATTAAAATCACCAGAATTTAATGTCGAAAATAAACTAAAATCTAGTGTAAAAACTATTATGATAGAACTTGTAGTATCATCAAGAAGTACTGTAAATGTAAATTGGAATTGGAAGGGCACTTGCACAATTCAACTATACAAATTTCGAGAGATGTTTCAAAAATTTCATTAAAATTAAAACTCAAACATTTGCTTTAAAATATAACTTATCGGTAACCTGATTTGGCACATTTAAAGTAGATAGTCACAGTTAACTTTAGCACATGTTATTTCTTTTATAAACATACAACCAACCCTTAAGGCCTTGACCTTGTGACACTATTAACGAAAAAAAAAATCCTTTAAGTTTTATGCCAAATAACAAATAAGTAATAAAAAATGGTAAAAAAATATATATATGAATGGTTAAATGAAGACAAATAAATGGTACAAAAAAATATATTATGAATAGAGAAACAAAATAAAATATAAATAACATGGAAAACTATAAATTAACAAAAAAAAATCAGAGGATACTTGGGAATTGTACTTTTGTTTTATAGCTATATTTATTACTTCTCTATAATAAAATGGTCAATATCTCCATTATCTCCCTTGTTTTGATTATGCCATGCCCAACCACTAAATATTTGTGAGTTGTTGTGGATTTTATTGATTTTAAAGTCGATAAAGATTGTCTTTTACGTGGAAATTATATTTATTATTATGTATAATACAATTTTTAACCAAGAATTTAATATGGCTTTAATAAGGATCAGTGCGAGATCTGCCGTAAGTTCATGAATTTAGAAGGGCCGGAAAAAATCTTAATACAATTAAATAATTTTGGTCAATAGCGGCACAAGGCTAAATATGGTATAAAAACCTAAAAATATTTATCAATAATCATGGATAATAACGACCTAAGTTAAAATAAAACATCTAAACAACTATTATACAAAAATCTCTAAAAATAATACGTTATTTATAATATATAAATAATGCGTTGATGTACTTTTTTTAGGAGAAAACTGGTGTAACTATAAATGATTTTGCTCAAATAACCTGATTGAAAACTTGGCACTTTCCGAAATGTGACACTTTTGAACAAATAACAACTGAAGGGAGTTGTCAGTTTGCAGATTTCAAAATTGTCATAACTGCCCTCTAGTAAACGGAACTGCCAGTTATGTTTATGACACTTTTTGACATAAAAATTAATTAGTTTTGGGTTGTCGAAATATTATTTCTTATCTCCTTTACTGAGACTTTGTTCTAAAAAGAATTCGATTCAGAACGTAACTCTTTTATGTTCGTTTTAAGTTTTTTGACAGTACTACAATACAATAATACAAAAATACCATATTCTCAAAATAACCAGAATATAGTTCTTGATGGCAAAATTAATCACTATTTATATCTTTTTTTTTTTGTAAAATCTCCAGATCTGTTGATAAATCATCAGCTCTGACAACGCTGCCTGCAACCGACGTCGTTTGGGCGATGGGTCGCGGATGGTTTGGTTGCCTAGCTAGAGGAATTCCGTTTTTCGATTAAATGAAAATTTCGCAGTTTAGGGGTATAAGTCGTAAGCCGACGAAGAAAAGATGTATGTGCTCTATCTATAAAATAAATTCAGTATTTATAGAT